TTCTATGAAAGTTTAATACGATATTATTTGAAAACGATGGATATTATTATCACCATTTATTTGCTTAGGATACCATTCAGTTATATTTTCTTTTACTAAGTCATACACAATATTTTTGTCGTTCTTTTCATCATTGAAACTTGGAATATAATGACACACTTGGAAGAAAAACATTTCTTCCCCCGATTACATGAGGTAGGTTTTTTCCTAGATATACTATTCACTTGGAAATTTCCAACTGAATAATATATATAATTACGCAATCGAATATATTCATAATAAAATATAGATTTTCTGATTAATACATTTCAATTCTCCTTCTTTAAAACTATGATGACAAATAACGAGCCAATAACGATGGTTGTTCATTGGAAAGAACAACGAAGATTAATGACAATAAATAGAGATGATGATATGAGTACCATTGAAAAAGCTATTGTTGATATATATCAATTACAAAAAAGTATATAATCTTTCGGAATATCAAATTCAATACTATGATATTATTCATCAAACTTTTATTGATTTATATCCTGGAACATTTCTTTTATTTCAACAACTTTTACTTAAACTTTCATCTGAAGCACCACCACCCAGAAAAACAAAAGCATGGACTTTAAAAATTGTTCCGAAAACGGCCGAAACTATGTGTAAATTAAATAATATCTATTTATTCCTATTATTTACTTTTCTTAATTCCTAGGTCATACATTTCAAGATGATACATATAATTATCAACAAGCAAATGATGCCACAGAATTTCTTCCTACAGAAAAATCATCGTCTACAATGCATAATTCAACTATACCATTATTTCTTCCGTGTCGATCAAGTATGATCTAAGAATCTTTTTCCTACTTAATTTTTAGTTTTATTATTTAGGAACTGATAATCCGAATACTTTATCTAGAGTAACATCTCAGATTGATGATGACAATGAAGAATTTAAATTAAATATAATTGATTCTGCAATAAAAATTACAACGGAACATCCATATGGTCTTGGTTTTGATGGTGATCTTGCTCAACATCAACGAGTTCAATTTGAAAGTGATATGCTTCGAAAAAGTTCATCAAAAACAACAATTGCCGGTGTTTTACTTCGTGCAGCTCAAAAATCGCATACCACTTCAAATGAAGATATATCCTATCCAACTGTTCATGTAATTCATCATAATTAAAAAGATTTTAATTATACTTATTAATTTCTTTTCTTCTTAGTTTAAAATTTCAACGGATAAAATTCATTTAGGATGGTCTCTTTATGTTTATGTATTAACCGAAGCTGATAGCAATGGTATTCATTACATACATGCATCAAAAGGTATATTTGATAATTGTACAAAAGCAATAGAAAAATTTGGTATGATTCCAAATACTGAAATAGTTAATCCATATACGATTTCATTAGCTCAAAATGATCTTCGTGATGAAAAATATGAGTAAGTTATTCATTTTTTGCAAAGTAAATAATAATAATTATTATTTAGAATACATGTTAAAGTGTGTAATATCACCAATTTATCAAATCGTAAACATACACAATTACGAGAATTTCCTCCATTAAATAATACAATGATTTATGATGATAAAACATTATTATCAAACAAAACAACACATGATATGAAATTTTCAAGTGACAGATATCATCTTGGTTGTATACTTGTTTGTCAAGGCAAAGCATATGATCGATGTATATCAAGTTTAACTATTGCTGGTAAATGATATATAATTAATAAATAAATAGAATTCTAAAATTTATTTTTAGGACGAAAACGAAATTGTACTGAAACAATAAGAGGTGAAGAAGATGATGATGATGAAAGTTCTCTTAATAAAATGCAACGAAAATAATCTTCAATATATTATTAGGAAATATTAATTTATAAACATAAAATTGTTTTTAAAAAACAATTTATATATATATGTAAATGTTGATTAGTTTCAATAGTATGGATTGGATTCGTCATTATTCAATAATGATAAATCTCAATATGGATATTCTGTTATCAATTGAAGTAATGATACTGAAGCTGAGCTTATTATTGTATATGAAAAGGATTTGTTATGAATTAAAAATAAATAAAACGATTTTGTTATTTAAAACAATAAAATAATTAATCCATCAAGTTTAGACAAGATATTTACTCTATATCTAAATTTTATTTATTATTCGGATAAAATAATCGAATTGAATCATTTTCAGCACTTACGGAGGTGTTAAATGCCTATATATTTACCCCTCAGAACGTTCAAACATTTCCTCACTATTCTCTCGAGCGAAAATAGGTAAATAACTTCTAAACCCATATTCAAAAAGCGCGCAAAATTCTGATCCTAATACTTTGAAGAAAGTCAAAAACTTATTCCTAATCGTAGTAGTATTTACGTTTTACTATAAATTAAAATAAAGTACTTACGAATTCATTGCGAACAAGTTACAAAGTAAAATAATGCATTGATATGTAAATAATATACGTTACACGTTGATAAGTAATATATTAATAGAAGATTGATACGATGAATTGCAGTTGCCTTACTTTTTCTTTTTGTTTTTAATTAAAACCTTTATTTATCATACAAATGAACATATAATGAGTTTTTATTACACACAATTGATTATCATTGGGAATATTTATCATGTGAGAAATAAAATTAATAATCAAAAGGGAAAAAATATTATTTCTCTATGAATAAATTCAAAAACATGAGCAATTGATCAAATGTACCCCTTGTATAAAACAATGCTTACTTGACATAAAGTGATGGTTTCATAACACGAAGTTTATTTGAACTCTCTATTTTACAAAATATCATTTATAAATACGCGTGACATATAAGACATCCTTCGTTGATTAAGGTCATAGATCTTTCATTTTCCTCGATTACATTTCCTTTACTTTTGACATAATAAAAATAACGAGAGCATTGATAGCTGCTTGTCAGGACTTTAATATTCATCATATGTTAAAATAGATTGTAAATTTTATTGTTCAATATGATCAAGAATATTCAATAAATAAATCTAATTAATCATATATACAAGATAAAAATTAAATATCTATTATGTTTGTCATTGTACAACATCGTCATATATTCTACACAAACATATATGTATATATATATATGTTACACATTACAAAAAAAATAATAATAAATAACAATCAAAGGGAAGACATTTATATCTATTACTATCAACATAAAACAAAACTAAGCATTGCAGCTAAACATATGACAATAAATAATTTAATAAAACTTGCTCGTTCAATATTTGTTGAACTCGCACTAGTATCACTGATTTTAGTTTGTCTTTTTCTTTGACTTATTGAATCATCAAAAAAACATGATGCAGAATTATTTACATCATTGATTTCAAAACGACGTGAAAGACAAAATTCACGTCCATTTGCGTATAATTCACCCACAGGTATGCCTTTCATTAATGCTGTTGCGCATGCTTCATACATTTGATTACAATATGATAAACATACATGTAAACGTTCACCTCGATAGAATCTATATTGCATTGGTGAACATACATAACACATTAGTGCATTAATAAAATCAGTACAGTCCGATGATGAACCGATTAATGGGCGTACCTAAAATAAGATATTTCGAATCAATAGATTAATTTTAATTTGCAAACAAACCTGAGAAAAAATAAGTCGCACTTCATTATCTCGACAACAACTATTTTCTTTAAACCATGTACAATTTGTTAATGCTGGTTGTGGACTTGGTGCACGATTAGAAAAAAATGAACAATATGGTGCAGTATTTGAAGATAATGAAGAAACGGTATAGGATGAATCATTCGCTGTCCATACACATGACAATACAAAACAAAATAGATAAAATAAAGTTAAAATAAACTCTTGTGTCATTCGAAATCAAAACATCAGACAAAGCCAAAATGAATATACATTATCTAAAATAACAGCAAGAAAGGTAATTTTATTTATTTTCTTGTATATATATATAAATTAATAAAATGTAAAACAGATAAATAGATGTTTTGTTTAACAACATCTCTTGTTATACAAACATATATTTCCCAACACAAAAAAACATTATTAACATAAATTAAAAAAAATTGAAAGTGGAGAAATAAAACCGCTCACAGATTAACAGATAAATGTCACTGCACCGGAACTGCACGTTGTCGTAAAACAGCTCTTTGTCTACGTATTGTATATAAAGCACCGATAAGTCCCAATAATGCTGCAATTAAATATAAATCCCATAATGAATCTAAATCAACTGAAGGCGGTGAATTTGTTTCTTTTTTATTTGTTGATTTATCATTTGAAAACAATTTTTCATAAACAGATTCTAAATAAAGTTTAAAAAGAACAATAGTCACTGGTAAATATGCATCTGAATTTGCTTCGACTGCCATATCATAAAAACGTTTTGCTAAATGTAAATCCTAACAAAAAAACGAAATTATTTATTTATATAATATCAATTGAATTTACTCGTTTTAATCCTAAGCCTTTTTCATACATATATGCTAAATTAAACATAGCCTGAGAATTTTGACTTTGATCACTTGCAGATTTATAATGACTAGCCGCTGATTCATAATTTTGTTCAGTTCCGTAACCACTAAAAAAAAAGAAAAACAAATATAGAAATTTTTGGATACATTTCTCTAATCTTCTTAAACAAGTAGACGGAATTATTTTTTTTCTAACTTACTAATAATAATAATCTCCTAATTTAATAGTTGCATAATGAAAACCTTGAATAGCAGCTCTATGCCAATAAGTTAAAGCTTTTTTATATCGTTCTTCTTTAGTTTTATATACATTTGAAATATCAAATGACATTTGATCAATAATATAAGCAACATTCGATTGTGCTACTTCATAACCAAGTTCAGCTAAATATAAATAGATCATAAATGCCTGTTCAATATATCCTTGTTTATATAGATTAAATGCTTCCGTAAACATGTGTGACCATCGACCACGTTCAGCAACATTTTTAAAAAGTTCTGTAGCTGTTGTACATGATCGTAATACACCTGTTCCAGTTGCATGCATTTGTGCTAAATTATAATAAGCAAGTACATGGCCAGATTGAGATGCTGCTTGGAACCATTTCATAGCTAATTTAAAATCTTGTTTTGCCCCTTCACCATTAGAATACATAACACCGAGCATTAATTGTCCTTCAACATACGATTGATCAGCTGATAATTGAAATAATTTAAATGCTTTTGCGTAATTTCGTTCAACACCAGCACCATGATAATATGCTAAACCAAGACCAGCTTGACCTATTGGATTACCTTTTTCAACTGCACGTTGAAAAAATTGTATTGCTGTTTGATTATCTTGTTTGATATAATCATTTTTTTCGGAATATAATTTTCCGAGATATGCTAGAGCATTCGTATTTCCTTTTTCAGCTGCTAAACGAAAATAATAAAGTGCTTTATCGAATGCTGTATCACGTATATAATATAATTGACCAAGACCATACTAAATAAAAAATACAGTTGATGTAATTGGAAACACTATGTTATCTTACTTGAGCTTGTGGATCACCACGATCGGCTAATAATTGATAATATTGTAGAAGATTATTATCTAACATAATATTATTTTGTGTTGGATGTTGTTCTTCATCATGTAAACGAATACGTTGTACTAATTGACCACTTGCTGTAGATATTTTTGAAGCAACTAAAATATAAAAACCTTTATTTTTATATAAAATAGAAAATTGTATTACCATGCGTTGCCACTTGTTGATAAAACATTAAAGCTGATTCACAATTATAAGCCACATTTATTGAACGCCAATATCGATAAGCCTAAATAGAGAAAGAATTGATCAAATTTAGAAATCGATGTACTATTTGAACTTTAATCGATTCATTTTATATGTAATTACGGTCATAAATAATGGCTTTTTTTTTGTTATAGTTATAAATCAATAATAGTCTTATTACGCATTAAAATTTCCGAACGATGATCTCTTATTTTCAAATTCTATATTAGCAATACTTACAAGTGCCATTTGAGCTAAATGATAACGATCACCAGCTGCCAATGTTAAATGAACTAAAGCCTAAATATACAAATAAAGTAATGATTTTAATATTTAGATCGGATAAACTTACTTTTGAAATACTTGCATTCGCAATAAGTCCAACACTATTCATTAAATAAATTCCCTAGATAAAAAAAATATATTATTTATTAATGAAATAGATTTATCATAGTACATAATGAGATTGTGGTGATCCAATTGCAATTCCTTCATCAAAATATGCTTTAGCACGTAGAAAATCCATTGGTAAATATACACCCATAAGATGTCCAAATGCTAGTTCTTCTTTCGCTCCAATATGTCCTAAATCAGCTGCTTTTTTGAATAATTTATAAGCCCTACAAACATAATTTATTTTATTGATAGGAAATATAATAAAATATTTATATTACATTTCATATTGACGATTTATTGTTCCATTAATAAGTTTCATAGCATGATGATAAACTGTATTAGCATGTTCCATTTCAGGTGTTAACGGAACTTTATCATCATCATCTTCTTGAAAATCTTCATCAACTTGTTTTATATCTGATGGAGAATCGGTTACACTAGCTAGATAATCATCGATTTTATTTAACGGATCATTATTTTCTTGTTGAGAATTAACATCGATTTCTTGTTGATTATTTTGTTCTTGAATTGTCTGTTCTTTTTTAATACGATATTTAATTATTCTATCTTGTTTTGATTTACTTGGTTTATCATTTTTTACTGGTTTTGATTCAGATGGATCAGTCGGTTGGGTTGATGTGTCGGTAGATGGAGGAATTTGTGCGTCTGGCTAAAAAATACGAGATTTAATTAAAATCTAATCTATGGAATATTGTAAAACCCTACTGATATTGAATTAGTTTCATCATTACCATCAGTTTGTTGTAGTTTATTATTTATATTTGCTAAGACAAGAAAAAAGAACAATTAAAAATTTATTTTTAATGACTAAATATTTTATTTTGCTCAATTTCCTTAATTACTAATTTTCTTACTTGATATAGAATATTCAATGAGAAGACTGAATAGAATAAAAATAATTAAATAAATGCGTTTATTACAGTAATATTGAGACATCTAGAAGAGTTAATTCAACTGTGATACCACAGTATTTAAGTTGAAAATAATAACTTCCTTTCTATTTATCAATCAAGGTCAATATTATCATTTTTTTTTATAAACAAGCGATCAAAAATAGACACGATTGAATGAGAATAAAAATTTGAACCAACCATCATACAACAAACCAATAACCAATCATAGAACAATACGGAAATATGCAGAGGACGCTTTAGATTGATTTATCAATTAAAAATAATAAATATATATTTAAAAAAACTGAGAAAAAAAAACTTGAACATCAACTAAATAAAATTGAACAACTACCGAACGACAAAGTAGACGAAACACAGAAAGTATTAATAATAATAAAAAAATTCATACATTTTATATTTATTTACAACGGAAGTTGATATGTATAAACTCGATAATCTTTTGATGCTAAATGAAGAATATTTGAATTTGATTCTATTGCAACATCAAGAATTTGTGAATGACAGATTCGAGCTGTATATGCACCTAAACGTTTCTTTTGTTCATATTCATCATAAACAGTTATATTTAAACCTTGATGATTATCAATTGTTATTAATTGTCCTTTAGAATTTAATTTAATATTTGTTGGATATGTTATATAATTTGCTTCTTTGATTTCACGTATCAATTGTCCACTATATGAAAATACTTTAATTGTATGAAGATGATTATCAGATATAAATATTTCATAATTATTTGAACAAATTGATGTTGGAAATTGTAAATGTTCATTTAAATGAAATAATGAAAGAATTTTTCCATCTAATGAAAATATATGTAATTTTTGTACTTGTGATTCAATAACAATAATACGATGGGATTGATCAACAGTTAATGCACGTGGTTTTTCTAAATGTTGACCAAATCGACGAATAAATTCTCCTGAACAACTAAAGACATGAATTTGTGGACGTGGATGACGTTGAATAACAACTAATTCATCATTTCCACCTGGTACAACAGCTATACGATATGGATAAAGTAAATTTTGACAACCTAATGTTCGTCCACGACCAAATGAATATTCGAATTGACCTGTTTCACTATGAAAGACTTTAATACAATGAGCATTTGTATCAACAACAGCTATTTTGCCAGATTCAAGCCATGCAACACTATTTGGTTCACGAAATGCATTATTTCCATCACCATATTGACCTAAGGAACGAACCCATTTTAATACTTGACGTAATGATCCATTTTTATAACGAGTTTCGGAATGAACTAAATCTAAAAAAAGATGATTTAAAGAATTTTTCTTAAATAAATTATTTTATTTACTAGTAACTCGTGGTTCTTGGGTTGGAGTAAGATGAATACGATCTAAATCAAGTGAAGACCAAGCTAAATATATAAAAAAACGTTTATTTTAGATAAAGAAAATGAATTAAACTTACTGTCTATTGGTTTATATAGAAAACTATCTGGAGGTGAATATGGCACTAAAATAGAAATAATAGATAATAAATATTTTTACTTAACATCTGATGATAGATTTCAAGTCAGAAGTCTATTTACAATAACTGAAGTAGAATTTCTCTTATAATATATGTTCAATATTACATAAAACATTCATCTGTATAAAAAAGAAAGTGATAGTATTCATACATTGACACATGATCAATAATATGAATACTCATTTTTTGCTTTAATTCCCTCAAAAAAAATTAAAAAAAATGTAAAATTGTTATAATTACGTGAATTTTCAAATGTATTAAATATATTATTTTCATTTACGGATGATCCAAAAGCACGACGTGGTTGTTTAACTGCCACACCCAAATCATTACTAATTAAATAATAAAATAAATAAAATCTTAATAGTTTTGCAAAGTAAATTTAACTCACACATCTATTCCTAAGACTGATGACCAAACATTTTCTTTATCCGATGTTCCTAACGGTCGTTTACGTGATAAACCAAATGAATTACTTAACATTTTTTAATTTTAATTACAAACAAATTATATTAAATTAAATTATTGCTTGAAATAATTACAACGAATGGGTAACAAAACAAACCCTTGATATATATATATACACAAATGTCGTCGTTGTTGTTCACTTAACGATGTTGACCAAGTAAACTAGGATAAACGACTATTTATGTATATATATATATGTTAAAGTCGAACAGAGAAAGAAAAAGATATATCGTAAAGAAAAGAAAAGTATTCTCTAGGTGTTTTTACTTTGTAGCCTACCAGCTGTGTATAAAGTGATATATAAATGAAATATCATTCTTTTATTTGACAAGTATGCCTATTGTTGAGAAAAAAAATGTATACTAGATGTACTATGCCGGCCAAAATTTTCATGTGCATTTTGTGAACAAATTGACGGAATTTTAGAGAATAGAGAATGCTTTGTTTATATTTAGGCTATTTAGTGAACACAATATTGAGATTTAATAATACATATATATGTAGATGTAGATCATTTCTGATTTCGTAAATGTTTATTATGAAAAAGAAAAACATAAATCTAGTTTTCACATTCGTTCAATTAAAGGAATGGCTAGAAATGATAATATTCGTCGAAAAAGAAGAACAATTCGTGTGATTAGTTCTAATCGAGCAAACATGATTGGTAATAAATGACTTTGATTTTCCTATATGAAAGAAAAAAAATGAAAGTATTTAAAAAGTCAATTTTGATTACACTTACTGTTAATATTCGAACTTTGGAATAATATGGACTTAAACGTCGAGAAAATAAGATGAGTTCTTGAAAAATCTAAACATATAATTAAAATACGATAGTTCCAATGACGTTCTTTTTGTTGTAAGAAATCAATAGTTATCTTTACATGTCATCATAACACTTATTGTATTCCTCATTCATATTCTATGGGTTCTTATGTAATATAGAATGTATTGAAACGGAATGAATATATCTCTACTGAAGCCTTTCATTAAAGATAATTTGATTATTATACCTTATCAAGATTAACTTGAACTTTGTTTGTATCAGTAAATGATTTCATAAGAAAACGAGATTCGAATGAATTAATCCATTTTAAAAAATCTTGTTCATCCTAAAAATTATATTTATTATTAAATTATGTTTATTTGTCTTTAAATCAAATATCTTACTTTACTTGTTAACATATTTTCAAGTTTATCCTCATATACTTCTCGAGCTGGATATAGACCTGCATAAGCAAAAACAAATAAATAAAAACTCTTTCTCGTTAAAAACAAACCGTTCTTATATTTTTCTTCATAACTATTTAAGATTGAAATTAAACGAGCACCAGTATATAGCAAAAATAAAGCATCATGATTTGTTTCAATATTTGATCGTAGATGAACCTAAAATATAAAATTATTTTATTTTAAAAGTTAATCTTTGTTTCGTTTTACAATTGAATTTTGTTTTCGACACATTAATTGTAATTTAAATACAGCCATTGGTATAAACGGACTTGCTGCAGTACGTTGGTTAACAATATTTGCCAACACTTCTCTCAAACAGATTATTTTTCAAATCAACTACTGATCAATATTGGAAGTAAACAATCATTTTCATTATGATTACTTACTTCATATAATTATCAACAGATAAATCATCATATATTGTCGATGGTCGATCATCACCATTGACAGCAGGTGCCAATATCAAAAAACGCTATATTAAAAATACGAATAAAACTTAAAAAGAGAATTTAATAAACTCATACTTGTTTCAAATGAGAATAATTTGAATAAAGAATTTTTGACAAAATAACAAATAATTCACATTGATATTGCGATTGAAAATCACATATATGAACAATATTGATTTCATCTAAACATACTAATAAAATAAAATAAAATATAAATATTGATTTACCTTGATATTTATTTAATACTTTTTCAAATGAATACAATTTATCGTATAAACGATTATCATCTGGTATTCGAACTAGATATAATAAAATAAATATTATGGACTATTAATAATTATTATTTACTTGAAGTTTCTTTTGAAGATTTTAATAGATAATCATTATCGATATGTTCAATATTAACGATTAATCGATTATCATTATCAATTGATATTAAATTTGACTTTTTAAGAAGTTTTTCAATTGTTTGTTGTTGTTCATTTGATGATATTTCAAGAAAATATTGTTCATCATCGTTCATT